TCTTATATAATATCTTGCCCCTTACAAATCTATACCCCTCCATCCCACATTAATATTACACAAAATTACAATAATATCTGTTTCTTGAATGTCAATCGAACTTAAGTATAATTCTATCTTGGGTTTGCATTTTAAAAAATGAAAGTTTATTTTTTAGAATTACAAGACAGTCTGCAGAGCAGGCTATCTAAGTTTATGTAAGGCCTTCTCAGATGAAATTCAAGAGGATGCTTGAGCATGTGAATAACAGCATCATCCACGAACACTGATTTGATTTTGTTACAATGATCTGCCTCCGGTGTCATTTCAAGATGTGGGCTTTCTATACTTCTGAAGTTTTGTATATACTTGAGGTGACAGCTCCCATACACACATACCAGGCCAAATTGATAAATATTTCAGCACTGGAGAGGAATCGTCTCTGTCAGAGGTTGTTTTGCTTTCAGAGCTGCTGCTCCCTAACTCATTTGCCATATGATAAAGATACACACTAGAGGAACGCACTGATGCATATTCGCTGGAGACGGCAAAATATTTTTTCAAGGAGGAGAGGTGTTATTGTGATGATAATTGATATCACATCTAGAGCATGATAGAGAAAAACACATCTGACCTGGACCAACTCAATCATATCGAGATAGACTTGCAATAATGTAGGCCTACATGTACTTGCATTAATCCTTTGATCAGCCATTTCAAATTAAAAATGACTGTCATCCCACCTTTCAATATCAAAACTAACCATTATAATAGAACTTCACATGACGTTTGACAAATGATGACAAAAGAGCTTTCAAATACAGGCCCACACACTCTTTTGGATGGTTGACTTGACTATATTGTATTATTGACTCAAGTTCCTTATACATTACAGTTCCTTTCAACAAAATATCCAAGAACTGGGCACTGTTCCAATGTCAATGTTGTGCAAACCGCACAAAGGATTTTTGATTATGTTCATGTAAACCTGCACGTATGTCAAAATTACAATGAGTTGCAGTCATATCTCCTAAAATCTGTATCCATATATTCTCCAGCATCCCTGTCATTGAATCAAAATTCTTTCAGTGTGGTGGAACCAGAGGAGACCGAGGAGAAGGATGATTTGGAAGAATTATTTGGGGTTGTAGTGGTTCTTGATTGGTTATTGTAGACATGTCTTCTAAACACCTCTGGTCATACCACAAGGATGGCTCACACCCTAGGGAGTGATTGACACAACCAGCTATCTCTACCATTCCACTTTCCTGAATGCCAAGGCCTTTCCTTGCACAGGGGGGTGGTGTTCACACTTAATACGAAAGTGACAAAACACTCTGCAGTAGTCTGCATACCTATCACTGCTTGAACACATTCATGTCTCTATCATGTACTTATCTCCTTATAGAAAAATCAGTTGAAAATAAAAAAAAACATTCAGCTACATACTGTAGTTGTAGGATCTACTGTACACTGTACACTGCAGGACTTGTAGTGGTGTAGGCCTACTATTCAAAATGATCATGGATTGCATCACACAGTGCAGCAAGATGGCTGGTACATGACTAAATTACTTTCACAATAAACGTGACCACTTTGACATATCCATGCGTCAGTATCTCATTAATTTAATTACATATGAACTGAGCTTCATGTTACTTAGTATTATATAAAAAAAAACCTCCCCCACGATTCTATTGACCTTCCCCAACCAAACAAACATGATTAAATCATAATTAGCTGGAATCCCTACGCCATGGAGAATGAGCTCGCTGATACGTTAAAAACCCTCCCATTTATCTTTCTCCCCTGTGAAAAACAAACACCATTAAATCATAATTGGGATCCACCCCTGCCCTGTATGAACTTGCTGACTAAAATTCAACCGCATTGAAATGTCCTTACATAATTCTTCAACTTCAAGATGATACATGTACCGGTAGACCTCTAAAACCAGACACGCAGGCCTGCATGTAGACATCAGCTAAGGCCATATCATCAATGTTTGCTTAGTTTGTTAATTAACATGAAGAATAAACATTTTCTCAGAAGACAGTACTCAAAGAGTATTGAGCTCATATTTGCCAGCTTAAGAGTTTGCCCTACAAAAAGTCCTTTCAGAATTAATGAATCGGTTTGCAACTGTGCATACATGTATAGAGTGGTGAAGTATGACATCATCAAAAATCTATTTTTAGAATTTCTCAATTTTTTTTCTTCATTTTTCGAAAAACCATCAAAAATAATGTCCAAATGACGAAAACCAATTTAATATGTTAAGTATTGGCTGAGATATGACCATCTGAATAAATATATTCCCTATAGGCTATAGGAACTCAGTGTTATATGCTCTGGCTCCTAACCATTAGGATTAAATTTATTTGTGGCGATAAAAGAAAATGATGTAAGACATGGAATCATAATGTAGCAAACTGTAGCTCCAGTACACCTACTGTAGATCAGAGTTGACTTCCAGCCAAAGAATTGCGTGCATAGTAGACATAGACGTGGATGGACATTCTCATTAGGTAATATGTATCATAGCATGTGGGTGGCAGCTGCGAGGTTCTCTAACGAAATGAAACTTTGAAGCTGGGTCTTTGTTTGTGCCCTGGCGATAGATAAATCTAAGCGAATCCATGGTATTTGTGATATCATTGCGTGCTACCTTGTGTACTTACACTGTGACCAATCATATCGGATCATATCATATCATAACAAACTAGGCTGGGTTCAGATGCCGCAAAAACATGTGCAACATGCACCAACGTATCAAATGACTAGTACATCGATTTGCAGTGAACGAAAGGAATGTTTTACTATAAAACAAAGCAAACAAAATGACAATTCATTGAAACTGATCTTAATTCTGTGAGTCAGCTGTTCCCAATTAATACAGTAACATATTACATTAGTTGACAATATCCAGGCCTCGTTTATATAGCACATTGTATTGTATAGTATCTGTTTTCATTATATAGGCCTATTATAAGCAGGTTCATGTTTTTAAAATGATGACCTTCTTGGAATTTGTTTTTATTGGATCATTGTGTTCACATGTAAATCTTTTTTTTTTATGTTCACCTACCGGTAAGTCTGTATAAACAACATATCCTGTCCATATTTTTATCCTGCATATTATTATCCTGCTTATTCTCATTTTGTTCATTCAATGTCAAAAGCTTCTTTCTTTATGTATACATTACATGTAGATCCTACATGTCGGTTTTCTAAAAAATCGACACTGGTACATTAAAAAGTAGACTCTGAAGTGAGTCTGAAAAGTAACTGAAGTTCACACAAGAGAAACCAATTCTAAAGTTTGTAAAATTTGTAAAATATCTTCATGAAAGATAGTGAGAGAGAACTTTAAATGTCACATCACACATTGCCTTTAATATTTTGTTTGCCAGTTGGTGGGATTACCTGAGGCTAGATACCATCTGCATTCTGTTAGAGGGGTATATGATTTCATAAATGAAGGGGGACCCAGAGAGGTAGGCTGGGAGTTCCAAAACAGACAAGGGACTACCCCCATCGGCCTAGGCCTACAAGGGTCATTGGAGTGACCTCATTTCAGGTCAAGGACTATTCCTTGGTTTCCACTCCAGCTGGTGGAATGTCAGGATTGGGTTTCACATGGTTGCTTGCTCAATGGAGCATCAACATAAATAATGGAACTTTTTGTGAGTTACCTTCGCTACAAATCACAATGCATGACACTTACGCAATGGGCCTTTGTACAAATATATAAAAGCACACTTACAAAGAGTATACATGAGGCTTATGTGCATACACAAGTTTGGTAACTTTTGTTTATTCCTTTTTTGTTCATTAGCTATTCATTGTTATGTAATACATAAGTACCGGTAGGTAGTAACGTGGATATAGGGCCTTCAAATATATAATTTGTATGTACATGTACATGTATAGGCTTTTATAATTATTTGTGTATTATATTTTCTTTCTTTCTCTCTCTCTCTCTCCATAATCATTGGGCACACTATATGTATACAATACATTCTTTTCAGCATGTGTTCTTTTTCTGTATGTGTAATTTGCCTGGATGTTCTGTATACAATTTTTCTCAAATTTAGTTTTGAAAGGGTCTTTACAGGAGGGCATATTTAGTACACATGCTTACATGTAGTACAAAAAGCTTATACACAGTATGTTGAGGCATGTGTACCTTTAAACTTTTCCCAGCACAGAAAGAATTGAAATCTCTTGCTGAGATCTAGAGAGAGAGAGAGGGGGGAAATCACTCAACCTTCGATCTATCTACCGTAGCCTGTCTTCAAGGCATCTGGGGAAGTTTTTTGTTAATGTGATCTGCCTATAAATTTCCCAAGAGACTTGGCATACAAACACAGACATGACACATACAATTTCAATCAGAAATATAAATTTACTTTGTTAAATCTGATTTTCATTTGCATATTTTCAGTGGATTTTTTGTTTTGTTGTTGTGTTGTTTTGTTTTTACTTTTTAATCAAGGAAAGCATAATACCTATGTAAAACTATTAAAATCAGGTAAAAAGTGGCACACATCTTGTGACAAGCGAGCCAAATCTTTAAGCCAGATACTATTCATATAAGAAGATTGTACTCAATTAGTGGTAAAATGATCATAATGTACACTTCATAGTCAGTTTCCTGGCAAGAATAACACATCACTGGACTGTAGATAAGACTAACTGGACATATTTTCCCCGGGATTTCCTTTGATGTCATTTTGGATAAAGCAAGAAGAGAATTTTCAACATAATTCATCTGCAGTAAAAGTAGACTTGTAGGCCTATAGCAATGTCGCCTGGACACAAGTCTACCTCATATGCCTCAATGTAGGCCTACATGTAGATGTACATTCAATTATGTTTGAGTGTAATGCTAAGCTGTATTCTCTGTTACATCAATAATGACTTTCACTTCACCTATTTATTTTTAATTATGAAATGACAAATAAATGGCTGAGAGGAATTTATGTGGGCTGATGAAAGAATGTAATTGAGATACATACCTTAATACGAACTAGCTTTGCTGATTTTAATCCATGCCCATGAAGCGTGTGTCTCTTTGTGAACATTTTCTGTAAAATAAAGAGAAAGATAAAAGTAATCAACATGAGCATTTTAATCACACAATCAATCAGTAAAATAAGAGGATAGAACGATTTTAATCATGATTTTTTTTTTTGTACTCCATGGTTTGATCCTGCTGGTATGAAAGGTGATTGTTATGGCACATGATGTGCTCTTTGCTTTGATACATCCCTCGGCTAATCTGTTCTTTGTTTAACTCTCACATGAATCATGGTAATTAACAGCTGATCTAGCAATGATGCCATACATGTATCTATTTATTAATCTGGAAAGGTAATTTAAAAAATCTAGTGCCAACTACACTGTAGTACGAGTTCCTGTACATGCAAGAGATTGTGTAATGGGAGTTGGCAAAAGGTACATGAACAGACGCAGTATGTGACGTAATATATTTATGATTACCTTAGCAAACATGAGCGCTATTCCGCTATCATATTACATGCAGATCGGTTGATTTCAAGAAAACGACGAAAGACAATTTTTCTCCTGAGAAAAGGATTTAAAACATTACCATCCTTCCCTCCAAAAAAAAAATCGGAATAAAACAAAATCCACACAAATAACATAAAAATGTACATGCATGACAAAAACAAACCACAAGTTAGGTGTGCAGACCACACATTTCTATGTTCAGTACTTCAGTGTATGATATAAAAAGATTTTGCCCATTTCAGGCATTATTTCAGGCCCATTATACATTGTGTACTTACACATGTATGGCCTTTACCTTATGCTACAGAATAATATCCTGTAGCTTCCAAGCCCCCCCCCCCCCCACCCTCAATTCAGCTGAAACTAAAAACACCATTTCCCGCTGAGCTATAAAAACAGTTACTAGACAATTTCATGGAATGAATAACTACTATAACATAACAAGGCAGCCAGCCTGGAACCATGCCAATTTGACATCAAAACACACCTCATGCACTTCTTTTATCTCTTATTAGTCTGTGGGTAAAGGCTCTATTTTGATGTTCTGAATTTTAGTTTGACAAAGCCAGGTTCATAGGCTGGGTCACAACTCACATACAGTGGTATATCAGGGAAGAATGGCTAGGATACCAAGAAAATCCTACAGTCTACAGAACTAGACATATTGTTCTGGTGTATTTGTAGTCTACATCAAAGATAATCCAGACCCTGAATCTAGATGAACATTGGTTTCTAACCTTTCCAAATCAATCTACCCCTCTCTCTCACTCCCTACAAGCTTCATGCAGATAAGATTAGAAGTATTGGCAAAGGTTTGTGCATTGGCATGGAGAACTTATAGCAGTAATAGAAACTTGGCTAATTCAATATTAACATTCCAGGCAGCCTGTTTCCTATTGAATAATCAGCCCATTGATCTTGACAGGCAATGACCAGGAAGAAAATCAAAATCAATTTTCATTTCATTGTATGAGAGAATCATGAGGTCAAGGGAAATTGGCAACATGTTAGAACATGTACTACACCACATGCAAACAGGATCTACTACTCACTCAACTCGGCCATGTTGCATTCACATAATTCAAAGGCCACCCTACACGTGTACAATATATTTGTGCATGTACATGAACAACTTTGTTATGTTGCCCTTTGAAATTAATCACCATAGTTTGATTATGTAGAAAGTCCTGCACATAAATACATTCATGTTCATGCCACAACTGCCTACAACAAAAATGTATTTTCTAAGAAGTAACCTGCTTTTTTATACTGATCATTTCAGTATTTGTAATGTCATACAGGGTTGTAAGTAAAACGATTATGTATGATCAACAATATCTGTTTAATCAAAATCATTCTTTGAAATATATCATCGTTTGCAAATAATTTTGTCAATTTCGCCAATGCCCATAAAAGTGAACCAAAAACATGTATGCATGATGTGTGCTATACACGTGCAGGCATGGATCAGTAGACTCTGTCATATATTATATACATGTACCGGTACATGTACATGTACTTAGAACATTAATAATTAAAATAGTCAATCATACAGGCATATGGATATTTACCTTAGACAGAAATGACAAAATATGATATATGCCACTGTGACGCATTCAGGATTGCTTTCAAATTTCATTAATATCTATCATTTCTGTCAATATCATTACCATTTTTTTCTTTCTAAATTGTATATATGGAATTTAATGAAATGCCTTGTTTTAAAGTAATTTGTAGCATCCCAAAATTGTGTCTACCCACATTTCAATAAAAGTTTAATATCTAAGCACTATCACAGAATATGGCCTTCACACCTTGATAACCCATCTCTGAACTGAGCCTACCATATATATGAAGCCATACACAACTTAGGAATCCCAAAAGACCTTGCTTTGTGTACGTGTGTGATGAGAAAACCCCCCTCCCCACTAATGATATGAGAGAGATGCAAGCTAACAAGGAGAGATAAGTGGAATTGATTTTGACATTGCATGCCCAGCCTCAACAGAGCTCTATTTGTGAGGGAGATGATAGAATAAACAAGCTGGAAAATCCCATGGGATAAAAGTCCACCATTGAGTGCACAGTAATGCATGGATGGTGATTACACCCACTTTGCAGCAAGCTGCTATAATAAGGGACCTATTTTCCCAACCCTAGGTTGATAATAGCCTTGGCATTCAGACTCCATTTTCAAGGCAAACATTTCTTAGACACATTCCCTTTAAAAAAGAATTGTCTAAATTCCATTCTAGCAATATTTTCAGGTAGTTGCTGTTGCAAGTCTCTAATTGATAGCCAAACTGTGAGTTGTCATTCGTCTGGGTTGGGAAGTCTACCATTTATTTTGTTGCAAAGTGTCTGTCATCCAAGGCCAACATCGAAAGCAGGCAGACAAAGAGCCTGCCTCCTGGTGTTGTCAATACAGCCAGAGGAAAAGCCATATATGATTTGCAGGAAGTGGCACTGTTTTGGAGCCATCAAAAAGTTATTTAGGTTTTTCAGCAGATTATGAAAACCGATGTTGCAAGCCCTATTAAACAGTTAGACATCGTAAAAACAATCGTGCCTATTCCTAAAAACATTTTCTTTTCTTATCATTGAAAAAACAAATAGGCCTACATACAAGTTTGATAATGCACTAGTGTTTGCAGCACACAACTTGGCATGCAGGCCTCCACGTAGACCCATGTTATTACAGGTGTCTTGAACATAGACCTTTTTCATAATTTTTCCTCCAAATAAAATTGACAATGTATAAAATGATTGATTTGATAGCTGCTTTCTACTTCTTTTTTTTCTTCAATGCAATAACAAATTGTATAAACCACACCCCTTTGTTAACTTTATGTAGGCCTAAAAGCTTTTGTGTGTTGTGACTGTAGTCATGAGTGTTTTGCAACTCAGCATACTTGAATGGAGAGTAGACATGTAAGTTTGTTTAAGACTTGTCTCATGACTCTCATTATTATTCTGGAAAAAGAAGTTCAAAGGAACAGACTTAACATTGTTATCATACTTTTAGCGCGTCTGAAATTCACTTGCATAGATACACTGTATATTTAGTTGAGGAGTAAATATGGGAATAGCATCCAAAACAAGGAGCAATGCAAGATTATGGCTAAATGAAAGCCTAAAAAGTCATTAAAGTGACCATTTTAATAAGTTTAAAATGCCCCTCATAATAATTTCTTCAAACTTCAAAGATATTTATGGGCCCATTCCATTACTCAAAATTGACTATAAGTACACCTGCCTCAAGTACAATGCATTTACGATCTACGTTATGTAGCCTACTACATCACACGTATGTGAGAGGCCAATAAGAACTTCCTGCCTGTCTCATTTTATGCACAGCGTACACCATGCATAGATTGCAATCTCCTCAAGTCACAGGCACAAGTTTAAGATTTCTTTTGTTCCTGAAGAATGAAGTTCAGAGGGTCTTGTGGGTAAGTGTGAATTTCTTAACCTAGGGGAAAATGGCATTTGGAGTGGAGAATCGAAGGATAAAAGATTTGGGGCCATTGTTGTTATTGTCCCATTTAAAAGCGCTGTAATAGTATTAAAGTAGGAAGAAATAGAGGGGAGAGAGATCGTAAGATTATACAAGTATCAACCAATTAGAAGAAGACAAATAGAGTGTACATGTCAAAATATATTCATGTACATATATGAACATTGAACTAATGCATTTGTAGAAGAAAAATATGACAATGACAGCCAAACACATGTATGAAAAAATAAATGATTTTAATCTTACCTGTTGCATTTTTTCAAAGTCTATCCTTCTGCCACTCTGCAATGTGGTATCATGATGACTATGTCTGTGTCTTTTCCTAGGTGAGCAAGAGTCCCCTGACGATGGACTAATGATATTGGCCATGAAATGAGTTTTACTGTCTATCCTCTTTGGAGATAGTTTATAGAGATGCTTTGGAGGTGAGGTGCTGAATTGCAAAGGTGATGCAGTCTTTGTGAAGAGATCTTTGACTTCCTCATCACTAGAACTCGAAACATCGCTGTTCCTATTCCACTGGTTCATCTGTGACCACTTTCTCTTCTCAGGCACTGGTCTGTCCATACAAGCAAGTTCTTCTTCTGAGCTATTCCTTTCTGATGTTGACAAGAGAATGTTCTCCGAGGAGTTACATGTATCTTCCAGGGGTCTTGGTTTTGTGGCAAGAGATGGGAACTGAATATGGAGAGGACCCGGAACCTGACCCATTGTTCCGTTACACAGTCTTCTTTCTGTAATACAAAATGAACAATGTATAGTTATAAAAATGTAAAGATTAGAAATATATCATTAATATCATTTGATTACACATCACATGAAAATATTTAGAGCCCACTGCACTACTACAAATTTGATTTTCTAAAATTCAACATAAAAATTGTTACTCTGTCATGTATAATCTATACGACTACTGGCCGGTAAACATCAAACTTGAATTAACAACTATGCTGTATCTCAGCTGTGCAGCTGGCAGTCTGCATGTTCATTGCACAATACTATGAAACAGGGAGCCATTTCTACAATGCAATCTATTTGATTTGACCTGCTAGGCCTGGAAGGTGTTGAAGAGACATGTCCCTGCAGTCTTACTTGACATGAACAAACACATCAAGGGGAGTGTTTCCTTCGTACAAGTAGCAGTACAAACATGGCTGCCTATCTGACATTTTCTTGTTAAGGCTATAAACTACATGTTGTAATGAACATTTACCTCGAAACAACTGTTCTACTTCTAGATTTTCCTCTTCCGAATCTGTGTTCTCAATTTCTTCTCCTGAAATCTGTAATACAAATCATGAACATTTAACAATATCGTTAATTATTGTGTCATTAATACACAATCTATCAAACTATTTATAATGCTAAAGAGATCTACAGTAATACCGGTAGACTGTAATTCTAAAAACCTTGGTACTACTACTACCTTGACCATTTCATGTGCACATTAAAACATATTCAGATATTACAAACTTTTTGTTTTTAATGAAATGCCAGTACTGTGTAGATCACTCGCATCTTCACAAAATGACCCTGACTGACCGTATTTCTAACAATTTTTTTTTTTTTTAATTATATCAAGTTTTATTTGTTTTGTCTTGTTTGATGTTATGATTATGAACAAGTTGCATGTACATTTGTAATGCTATATGGTTTAAACTCCGCGTAGAGTCTAGACTTATCTATATATTAACTGGATAATGTGTAATAAATAATATTCAGTATTTACTGTCAATTTAATTTCTAAAACAATTAGGTCTATAGTATAGACATAAGACCATTTCTTTTAAAAACTCACCTTGCATAATACAGGATCGAATGGCTGAACTTCATTCAGTGTCTGTGCGCGGAATTTCGACGTTAGAAACCTTAGGCTGAGCATCATTTCTGGAATGGATTCTTGAATCATCAACCTGAGCAATGATGAATTCTGTTGCAGGATCTCGACAAAATCAACGCTAAAATCCTTGGATGACCAAGCAGGAATCATAACTCCAGACTTCAAAATAGGTAAATTCCAAGACAGATAAGCTGCAATAAAAACAGCCAAGTAGAAAAATGAACGAACAATTTATTGCAAGGAAACGATGCCAATATCATTCATGTTCCGTAGTATAGCCTTGCAACAGAACAGTCGCTGTCAAGTGCTGGACATTCCTGGCATGCGTTGCCTTGAGTTTCACTGGCAACAAGTTTCACAGTTTTCGACAGCTACAACAGTTCCATGTCCAGTCTGTTTCGGAGTTCTTTGTTTAGTAAATAGCATAGATCTGTAGTAGAGCACTGCGGTGGCTAGGCTCGCCTAGTGCATGCAGAGTGCGTATCGCAATGAAAACATTCACTCCCGTACGCAACAAACCACTGAAACGTCGTGTAAGTTTCGGTGCAGGCCCATGAAACACGTGTAGCCATTGGCGGAGTTACTAATTGCGTCATGATAATGACCTCTCGACACGCGAGGGGCGTGGCTTCATGACACGTGCGTGCGAATGCCTTCGATGCGATGAGAGGGCGAATCTACTGCTACACACAGAGATTGGGGTATGGGTGGCAGGGGGTCAACCAAGATGGATTTTTACCCCTCGTTACAGTATTGCAAAGGGAATTATTCAGAGCGGGCCTTAGAAATATCAAGGTTCAGTCGCAATGCAAACACAAAGGAAATCAATAATACACTCTGTATTGAAATATCCTCGACAACTGAAACCTGTTTTTGTAGGACTGCTGACTAGCATATACGACATTATCAACCCCGACTGGCAACCTTCCTCTAAAACTAAATATAACCTTATTATCACTTTATCCAGTTTGCTGTGTATTTTATCATCAAACCTCACTTAAATAATGGAAATATCTCCCTTTGCAAAGAAAATATAAATTAGCATTACGAAATGTATATAAGTGTAAAAAAAACTATATAAGCAATGATAGTTTATTTCTTCTAAGTAAACAGGGTAGTTAATTTCCAGCTGCTATAGGTAGGATAGCTGATAAAATCAACTATAGGAGGGATGTTCAAGTAATTACAACTAGTCAAAATGTTGTTATTCTTTGTTATCGTTACTTTTATAATTATTATTGTTATCGTAATTATTATCTTTATTTCATTATAATTGACCATAACCGATTTCATGTGATTTTAGCATTCTTTATTTCATGATTATCATCATGATTGTGCATAACCGGTATACCTTGACATTTCCTGATACACGTAGGACCTCAAGCGTTCTTGATTTAGGAAGGAATCGAACAATGCCGTCCTTTGACGACATGCAATTTATTCCATGATCAACGAAAATGCATTTCAGTCTTTTGTTCGACCGCCAACTTGTACTTTTTATTTCGGCCACCCGGCCCGGTGGGAAGAGGAGTGCAGCTTGTTTTAAAAATGAGATGGGTTTTGTACTGTCGGTTTCTTCTTTATTTCATTCTCTCTATCTGTCATTCTCCTATGCTTTCTGTCCCCTTCTTTATTTGCAATGATCTGTCATTCACTCGAACTACTTTTCGCTCAATCTCTCCATAGATTTATACCCTTGCTTTCTGTCTTTCTGTCCAAGCTATTATACTCCATGCTAATGTCGCCCCGTTTCTCTTCCTCATTTTGAATTACATTCTGTGTTTCTGCATTCTATCAAACTCAGACAACATACACATTTAGTATTATAGCCGGGGCCAGTGCACACCACCTATCCCAGTCTGGGGTTAGTTAATACCTACGTCATGTGCTAGATAGGTCATAAAAACCAGTGAATCACGATCGTTTTAATATAAGAAGAGAACCTATTGATCTAGATTGCAATATATTATGAGTCTCGTAATTTTCATTTCATTACGCAAGAATTTTTACCCCTTTTCCTTTACTTGATGCTTGTAATTATTTTCTCAATTTCTTTTCAATGCTTAATGAATATCAAATTTCATTACAAAAATACCAGTTGATTTCGTGCGGAATGGACAATACTGTATTCGAGATCCTACTTATGAAACCGGCTGCATGCAGGCGTATCTAATTTGTTACGTTATCATGTAATATACAAACAATCCCATTTGATTCCATATCCGACTAGCTGACGGTGGGACTTAATACAGCTGTAAATCCCTCTTTCAGGATCGAAGGACCCTGTATAATGAATTATCTGCGACATTGCTTGTACAGTCCGTACAACACAGAGCAGGCCTCTCGGAGTGGATGATCTCCTGAATGTGATAAATGACATTGCAATCTCCAATCTACTGTCCTTGCTGTGAATGGTTTGGCCTGATATTTAAATGATATTCAATCGTGCAGTGACTCCGAGGGACCGGACAGACCTGCGTCACGAGAGGTCATCGTACTTCATCAAGCCAAGGAGTTACCAGGCACCGTCGATAAGTCTAGAGTTCAACATTCTCTCGTAGTATAAAAACTCTTTCCCAGTACGTGACGACACATTCTTATTTGCTTGTATTATATGTTCTGACTGTAATCAACATAGTTACTTTTTTCATGTTGAGCTCAAGAAAAAGGGGTAAACCGGATGACCAGCTGCGTTCTATTCTGCTGTAATGAAATAGATGCCTGGATATTGTTCGAAAAATCAATACAATAGATTTACTGTCTATTGTCAAAACAATAACATTTTAAATCGCCATGGACAAAGCTTTATTTTGAAGGAAAACAAACAGATTACTTATGCATGCTTCATCGATCTCCTAACAATTGACAATTCTTTAAAAGTACTGATAACGCTATGTTCTCTAATTTTGTTTCTATTCATGAATTGTCTTTACAGTGGTTCTGTTGTGTTTTCATATAACTTGATTCAAAAGATACAATTTCTAAACAAAAAGAAACAAGTTAGACGCATCGCATTCCATTTGTTTGCCATATCATAAAGTTACCTTTCTTCATCGTTTAGACGTTTCTCAATTAGGCTTTCCAGATGAGTTGTGTAAAAATGTATACCCTTAGGAGGCATTTATATTCATTATGGGATACCCTCAAAAGATTCCCCACAATCATTCGTAAACAGTAATTTTATGATGATGAGTTTAATTGAATAGGCGCAGCTATGATAAATAATAGACCAATTTTTCTTGCATTGGTTGCGCGGTTGTTTATTAATGCTGATATCACCTTTAATGCGTGAGGCTCCATTAATGAATAGCAACATCCCAAAATGAGTGGGCGAGCAAGGTCACATGACAGCCCGGGGAAGCCCCTTCCACGTGTCGCGCATGACTCTGTGTGTATTTGTTTCGGTCGCGCGTGTGTGTATACAATACTGTATACGTATAGAGCTATGCATACACAACACACACACGCGGCGCCGCGCAGGGCGTACAGTACCATACCAACCAATGCCCTCCGAATGCAGCATGACTCATCCTTCACCGAGGCGCCACGGAATCGCACGTTCGCAAATAACACTCGGTCACGTATTACATTAATAACGTTATGTAGGTCAAATATATCACATGTTACTGAGTTCTTTTAAGGATATCATCTGCAGACTTCAAGGATATATTTCATATTGTGATTGGATGTTCTCTTAAAAATCTAATGAGGATAAAACTAACTGTATTTCTGTACATTCAGGGAGGTATTATAGGGCTTCTTGTAAAACGCATGGTCACTTCTATTCCATGAAAAATTGAATAATTATTAAAAGCAAAAAACAAAACGGCAAAATAGACGGCAGGGGTAGGTGGACCTGGTACTTTGAACAAGATACAGAACCAAATAGGAAAGGAGAATATATTGTGCTTCTTTTACATTGCTGCCTTCTCCCTTTCTCTGTCTCTGCCTGTGTCTGATAGTCTGCTCTCATCCCCTCTCTTCTCTCTCTCTCTCCCCCCCCCCCCCCCCCTCCCCATGTTGTGCTTTTTTAGCCTATTTTGAAGTGACATTACAAAAATTCAGTATTTGATTGTTAAAATGTACTAAGTTGAAGCCTACCTGACAAGGAAGTTAACATGAAATTATCAGAAGCAGTAACTTTACGACAGATACCTTTTTTGCACTTTGTTCTCTTCTAGTGTTCCTCTTATCATATCAAACATTTTTTACAATGCGATTTGATACAATTATCTTTAAACTGGATAAGAAAATCAGAATAAGTATTGATGGGGAAAACAGATTTCGAATTCTAGACAAAACTAAATCAATTCGTAATGCATGAGTCATATCTCATCGCATGTAATTGAAATCGACTTGAATTGATAAACCTAGAAAACGAATACATTCTCTTTCCTTTGACCTACATGTTTCATCAAGTCACGTTTCCATCATTTAGTATTGATCTCCTGGTAACCAAAATCATTTTTATAATCAGACTGGAATTATAGCATAGTTAATGAGGACTTTTTAGAGGTAGAAATAGGCAAGCGTATACCATTAATCACAGTGTGTAACAGGGCATTGATAATTGATATTGGGTGTGTCAATGCTACACATTTCTACTCATCTCGCTTTATGTTTGAGTAACTATAGGTGTAGATGTCCATAGAAGAGAGGTCAGAGGCAGCTGAAGGGGGAGATAAAGGAGAAGTGGATGGTTAGAGTGGGGAGGGAGAGAGAAGGTATGTGTGACAAAGAGAGAGGTAGAAATTGAGAAGAGAGAGAGAAAGATAGACAGATTCACAGATAGACAAAGAGAGGCCAAAATAGATATAGAGATTACATAACAGTGTATTTCATTGCCAGTGATAGGTAGATAGCACGTTCTGATTCTATAAGGAAAGCTAGAACGATTGTGTTTCTGTTTTTAAACATCTCTTGTTCAACTTGTTTAACTATTTTATTTAACGGCAAAATGCATTCACGTGTCCACGTTTTTTGTATCTGTTGTTTTCCTGCGCTATTTATTGAATTGTAAAGTGACACAAAGACACTTTGTTAATTAGTGTTTCTTTAATTTATGCTTCATTTTTGTGTCTTCATTCTATTGGATGAGATTATTACGGTACAAAATAATGTACAACAATTAGAGGAAAATTTGAAATAGCCCCTTTCTTTTTACATCACAAAAATCTTCTCAAGCAAAAATATTGCAATTATCAGGTATGACGATTTTCAAATGTTTCAAAATAAGGATAAATCTATGGTATAACTTATTAAACTAATTTTTAAAAAATTGGCATAAGCTGAGCTGAAGAATCTATGAAAGACGACTTATTCATAATGATTTGTCCTTCATTAAGGGGACGAGTAGTGTATGCAGACTGCATTTATATTGTACAGTTATCGATCTAATGCGCGGTTTAGTAAACCCTGTTATTGTAAATGTTTTTGATAAAGTTGATACAGTAATGTAGTGCAATTCAAAAAATGAATGATGGCCGTACTAAGTAAAGT